TGATCGCTGAGCAAAATTACCCAAACCTTAAATCAAATACCAGAACAATACAAAAACCTACAAACATCAAAACTTAAGGTACTTTCAAGAGTATGATCTTTTTAAGCAAATACACACCTGACTTGGAAGAAAACGTCGTCGTCAATAAAACCATAACTATCATGCATTTTCGTGACAACGCCCGAAAATGTTCTCGTTTTCTGTTGCGGTTGCTAAAATCAGACACTACTGTCAATCCAACAAGATTCAGTGATCTTCGCAACACATTTTTTCCCCCCCCCTCCCCCCATTTTGATGTTCATCTTTTTTGTTTTTGCTCTGAAAAATTACTGCCTCCCAGACTTTCATTAATTTCAACTAAATGGTTTCTAAATTATCTCGACCCTTCACACTCCTCTTGTCCAACAGACGACATCCCTTAATATATTTCTACAGCGCCACCATTCATATTACTGCAGGCTGACTGCCCACAAATATATCCTGTTTTCGAATGAGGAACGCACTCTAACAAAGCTGTTCCAAATCCCCTTATGTACTCAAGAGTTTTGTTGCAAGATGCATTCAAAAGACAGAGAAATAATTAAAGAAATGTTGAAAAAATAAAGAATGAACAAAATTAGTTGATTCAATCAAAAACTAAGGTCTCTGTTGATGATTTCATATCAAGTTTGTTTCTTCTACTTTACCCTTCTGTAGAACAAGGTATTCCCAATAGTCACAAATTTCTTCCTTGCACTTTTTCGAAACGATTCTCAATAAACATTTTATGATATAAGAGTTTTGATTAGTGCTTCAAAAGCTTGCTCCTAAATCGATAACTATTTAACAGAAGCAATTTTGAAGGTCAATCATTTTTCAGGAGTACTGTCCGAACCTCAATTAAAAATAAAAAAATTCATTCTGATTTTTTAAGATGTAGTGAGCAATTCGATTTATCTGTCCCATACAACTGGAAAAGTCAAACGGATTCATTACCAATGGCCTATAATTGCAGCTTTGTAAATTCGAATCGCCTTGTAAATGACCCACAAACTCAACAAGAGAACATCTGGAACGACACTAAATACTAGCGCCTTTCTCAACAATAATCAACAAAACAAGAAATTATTACCGCTGCAGGTACTTAAATGGTTACATTTTTGATAAAATTAAGTCAATTAAGTCGGAGCTGACCTGCTGCTGGGCTTGCATTCTAATTGCTTGCTGAGGAGTTTGTAGTAATCCAAGATTCATTCCCATGCTGGCAGCTGCTTGCTGAGAAAAAGCTGCAGCATTGATCATGTTAGGTACATTCATTTGCGCAACACCGCCAAACGGCTGCCCACCAATAAGTGGATTTTGAAAAAGGCCTGGATTCAGCTGCTGACTGCCTAAAAATAGTCGTTTAGAAGCATGATATGACGTGCATCACTATGCAGTAAAATATTATTAATCATTAGTGTCCATCCAGCATGGCAAATTATCTAAAGTCCTTCAAATCAAATACTCCATAATCTTTCACAATGAAAATTTAATCTAATAATCATTCCTCATTGAAGAAAAAAGCATTTCCACACACTAAGGCAACCATTAATTTGCGACTTCCTACCTAATCTCTTAATCAAATTTCTTAATCTTAATCAAACGCTTCTTAAAAAGCATCGCAACTACTTTTCAAATCAGAATTAAGGTCATATGAATCTACTCAAAGCAGTTGATCAAATATCCCCCCTAAAAGGTTTGGTCAGTACAAAATATTTTTAAAAAACACGAAACGAAAAAAGGGAAGGGAATGAAAAAAAGTCCAGTCAGTTTCTGCTTGCATAACCCGTAAATACCTAAAAAAAAATGTTCAAAATAAGAAAAATGAGCCGGAACTAGGTTGGCAACATTAGATCATAAACTATTTGTACTAACAGGAGATTTACGACACCTTGGTCTCATCTCTTTAATCAAAAACAAATGAAAAAAAAATGAAGAAAAAAAAAAAAAGCTGCGCAATTCGAAAGTTAAAGACAGTGCAAAAAGTGTTTGTACGAGTAAGGACGGCAATCAAATACAAAAAGTAGTGAAAGTTTAAGGAGTTGCCCAACATCATGATGGGAAAAAAAGGAACTTCAAGAATCCATGACCGAAGATGGCCTGAACTCTCGGGTTACTCAGCTATAAAATGTAGCTTTTGACTGCATTGCAGTAGTCACATGTGTGGTCCTATGTCCCATTTTTCCTAGCGGTTAAATTTTAGCTTCTGACAACATTAGTTTTTTGTAACTAACCCAGCTAGCTCCCAGAACCTCCCATCCTACAATAGCTTTTTTCTTCTACAAAATTTATTTTATCCTTTCCCACCCTCTAGCACTACATCACACGTCTAGTGGAAGCCCACTGCATATAGTCCCGCTAAACTTAAAAAAAAAGCAACAACCTTTCACTTATGAAAAGTATACTAGCAAAAGGGAACTTTTGCAGTTAGTGCAAGCCCATAAAAAAAATCTTAGCAAAACATCAAAAAAGATTTTTGCCGCTCCTTCAAGAACACCCCTCCCTCTGAAACAGCAGCAGCAAAAAACTTCAAGAAAAAAAAAACCAACAAAATCGACAAAAGCACCATGCACACCCTTTCTCCCTTCGTCATCAAGGAAATCAAGAAAAGAAGGCAAATCGTTAGGTAATAAAAACTCCTGACAAGTAAATTCAAACAAAAAAGCAACAAAGAACACTAAATCTGTCGGCAGTGGCTCCCAAATGATATTACCATTAAAGCCCTATTAAATAAAAAACTGTATTAGCTTAAGGGAAAAAAACCATGGATTTCATCCAGAAGTAAACTAAAATATTTAAAAGACCATGCAGTAACAAAAACTACAACTCTAACCCTCTATGAGAACAAAAGAAATGATAGTGAAGACCTGGAGGTCGCGCCCAAGCAGCTGGATTCTTCGCACCAAACTGAGACATCTGACTGATTAGAAGTACTGAAGAATGAAGCGTAGAAAAAAATTTCCGCTGGCTTCCAGCGTTAACACTTTTGCTCTGAAATATAAGTCACAAGCATTTGCAGCGTTACTTTGACAAAAATAAAGGCGCGCCTTCGGCTATAATTCATTTCTACTCATAGTTTCAAGATTACAAATTTTAACGAGTATCAAATGTATAAACTGCACTGAAGCATTGACAGCTAACAGTCTCGTCGTTTCCTGTATTTCCAACAGCACACATACCATGAAAGTTACGAGATTTAACGAAAAACCAAATCTACTCAGAAGTAACATGCTAGCAGAATAGGAAAAGAAAATGGAAGACACAAAATAAGTAAGACTAAAGTAAGACTAAAGCCGCTTCTCCGTATAACTTGGAAAACAGTAGAAAGCCTATTATTTCATTAAATTAAACTACTACAAAGGTAAACATATCCTTCAATTAAACATATCTTTTCACCTTGTCGGATCACTCGATTACTTAAGGAATTGACTAACTCGCTGATCAATCAATAGTGATAACTTTCTGATCCCTCCACAATTATCAACACCTGTGCGTCTTTCCAAAACTGCACAAAACTTTAAGCAAATAATACCAGTGCAGCTGTAGACAAATTAAAAAAAAAAACCTTCAAGTAGGATGAAAAGTAATGAGAGACGAGAACTATAAAAAATACATCTTCACTGGACAACTTCATTTGTAAAAAGTGCCCAAACTGACTGCAGAGGAAAATTTCTAAGCCAACGGCTTGCGTGCGGCTTCCAATTCAGCAGCTGCAGTAAGAAACGCTTCGCCTTACGCGCAGCACCTAAGCGT